CATCAATGTGCTTTCCTCTTCTTTCCATAGATGCTGAGATGAAAGAATATCGTGATATTTTCACTTATGGTGAGTTTCAAACTGGGTTAAACAAAGGAAAAACGTTGAAAGGAGATTTCCAAACTCCTGTGATCCTGTAAAAAAATGGTTTGAGGGAGAAAATACTAAAATAAAATGTATAAGTTACTATCAATGTGTGAAATTAAGCATTTTATAGAATATCTGGGAAATCTATCGAATTCCAAAAATGGGACATCAAAGTATGAAACACTTTATATTTCCCACATATCCTAGGCACTCTTTTCAATGCCAGGAGGCAAACTGGCAAAGTATAAAATACTCCCACTAAAATGCCATGCTAACCTTTCTTGTTGCAACGAGTAAGCCAATACTGGTCTTTTTCTCTTGTTTCTTTCAGTAAGAAAGTCCTGTACTTTATTCTGCATTTCTTCGTTCATTTTCATATTTTTTTTCAATAAAGAGTTTAGATTAGGGTTAGGATTTTCATAAGTCTCTTTTCATACTTTATTTAAATACTGTAGTTCTTGTCATTCCTCATAATGCCTAGGTACTATATACAGTACGTCTAGGGAAAGTATATAGCATATTAAAAATAACACAGACATTTCATACTTTGCCTAAAGATGTTACACATTTTATAGATTTTCTAGGCATTCTATATACTGTGCCACCTTTTCATAGATTACTGGTAACATATACATATGTTGGGATGAGGCACCTGAGGTTTCTCCAAATATTGATGGCCAACAGAGAGAGATCCTGGCACTCGTTTGACAACAGTGGAAGGCTCACCAGTTCTCTGATGCCCATTTATCCAATGGTTATATTTATACCACTTGCTAAAACCTGATATGCTGGAAACTTAGTGGCTACATCCACACAATTTGTTAAGCTTGGTCAGTGGGTTTTTAAAAAAAAATCATTTGAGGGTATTTTGGTAGCTTTGCATGTTGTGCAAACCCATCTTATATGGTTTGTTCATGATTCAAAATACTAGCTAAAGTCAGGAAAAATGAATGATTTGAGAAGCAGGTTAGATGCAGTGCCTTCCCGTCAAACTTCAATAGATGCTCTTGAAATGTTGTCTCTTTTCAGTTCCAGATATTCCAGACTATTGACTTTTCTCTGTTTGCCTTGCAGATTATTATTCCTTGCGCAAATGGGGTTTAGTAGCTGCTGCCATCCTATTCATCTTGGGCATTCTCATTCTCACTTGTAAGCCTGAGAGACTGGAATGAATGAATGAATTGTATCTTATTAACTGAGGGTGGAAAGAGAATGATGGAACAAAAGAACAGAACCATGTTTCATGTCATTGCCTTACAACACTAGTTTAGTTTTAACGATTATAGTTAACGTTAATCAGTTCATTACACTGGTTTTGTATTAGCTTTCTCAGCAATATTATCTGCATAACTGAAAATGCTAGAATACAGCATCACACCATTAATATCACCATTTGAAATCAGAAGTACTTCAGAAAAAAAAAAGGCAACGCTTAGGTGGGAACATTTAGCTTTGCTATCGATTTGTACGGCTGCCTGTCCATTCCATTCCAAAGAAAATCCGGATGGTGAATTTCAAATCGAAAGAGTTACATATTATTTAATGTTCAGGAAAGGCCTCTGGGAAGCACGTGGTTTAGGGCACTGTTTTCCACCATGATTCCAATGCCTTGATGGGTTCAAAGGTGCTACGTAGGCTGCCGTTTGTTTTTACCATAAGGCAAACTCTAGGGCAAAATAGTGATAGTGGGGAGGTTCTGGCATTTCAGGTACGCTCAGCCACAATGCAAGCACCTCAGTGTATCCAAGCATTAGTGTAAGAAGCAGCTGACATGCCATCTCTTCCCATTTGGTTCTGAACTTTAGGAAAGAGCATTCCTCAAATACTTCGTTTGCTTCCTTTTCTCTTCAGGTGGTAAACTTGGGAAATTTCCACGATGCCGAGGGAATAAGCGGGCAAGGTAAACCTACAACTGTGTTGCCTACTCTATCCCCTTATCTTTGTGCACTTGATCGCATGAAAAACGGAACGGAGGAATAAAACTGTGCTTGAGAAACATGTCTGATTCTCACGCGTGACCAACTCTGATTTCTTATGTTTACAGAACATACGCTGTGTCTCTTGCTTGAAACGTCTTTGCCTGAAGCCTCTGAAGACTGCACTGAGAATGCTTTGGCGCCACCAGGGGGCATCGTTTCTTATGATGAAAAAAATGTTTGGTCTCCCAAAACGATTTTCCTGCTATCCATCCTTTCCATTTGTGCTTATTATGATCCTACAACATAAGTCCATTTTTAGTGCCCTCTCCCTAAATTATCTTTTTGTTACATTAAACTAGTTCCTTGGCACAACCACAAGGCCTGGAAATTCATTGTTCCTTTCTCCGCCTGCCTGAGGCCAGGGCAATGTGAATAATGACTATTGTTCTTGGTTGCTTAGCAAAACTTGTCCATCCAAATTCTCTGCCAAGAAATCTCAAGTTCTGTTCTCTCAATAGATTTTTGGTGTGGTTTGTTTCCTGACATTGACTCTGTGCTGTCTTTGGCTTGATGTGGGTGTGGGTTATATTTACATACCCTCATTCTGAAAGAAGCTATGTTAGCAAAGCTGTTATCACTGGGATCTGGAAGTTGTCAAATTGGATTCAGAAAAGAAGGGAGGAGGTGGTTTTATAAAAAAAAAGTTCTCTGGGTTAACATACATTAAACCATAATCTGGTCTATTTGACTTTGGTTCCTCATAATGGGTGGATTCCGCCTTCGTAGTTTGTAATTCATCGTGAACAACCCCAGCTAATATCTCTTCCCATAATGCCAAGGGACATTCAGCTTATCGCATTACAGTCTTCAGGGGCAAAGTTGGCCATGAATAACATAACTCGTATAATCAATGACAAAAGTGTTGCTCAATGATGTTGAAGGACCAAATAATTTATATTGCATAAAATGGGAAAGCAGCAGCAACAAATAAAACAAATGATATATTTATGGTTGATGCAGTTTGTATTTAATGATATTTGCCGTTGACAGAATCCAGACCTTATCTAGTATGGCTAGTCCCATCTTAGGCACAAAGCCATATGGATGGCCTGGGGCCAGTGTTTGTCTGTCTCTCTCTCTGTCTGTCTCTCTCCTCCTCCTTCTTCTTCTCTCTCTCTCTCACACACACACAGAGAAGGTCCCAGTACTAATACTTCGTTAAAACTAATTTTTATTGTTAGATGCATATATTTTATTTCATGTTGCTTTGAGGGTTAGTCTATCGAGTGGTAAGCACCATGACTGTGATGCAAAACCTTTTCAAGATTATGGCTAGAGTTTGTACCCAGCTTCACTTCAAAACAATTTAAAAGAAACAAAATTCCAAAACTCAAGCAGAGTATCACCCTACAGATTGATCATACGTTGTAGGCCAGTGTTTTTCAAACTTGGAAACTTTAAGACCTGTAGACTTCAACTTCTAGAATTCCCCAGTCATCCATATTGAAGTCCACACATCTTAAAATTGCCAAGGCTGAAAAACGTTAACGTTAAGTCATACAACTATCCTTAAAAATAACAAGCATTTTCTTGAAATGTTGCTTCTGAACTGTTGAGATAAACTGAAGTTTGCTTTTTTTTTTTTTTGAGGTGGAAATTACAGAAGTGATCCTGGGGAATCTTCTTAGGGGAGTTAACCAAAGCCATAGGAAATGAAAATTCTAGATGATTTTATTTCTAATACAGCTGTATGATTGTGCCTGTATTTTCTTGAATATTTTAAAAATACTTGTGCAAGGGTGGAACTACAAATATCCATCCATCTCAAACATAAAACAAAACCAGCCCAAGCCTGCCTCACATATGTCTGGAAAGAAATGTTTAGGAAAGTATAAACAGAACTTAATATGACTTTTCAAAATGAAAAGTTCCCTGCTAAAAGCATGGGAACAACAACAATAAAAAAAGCGAAAACATAAAAGAAAAGACCTTGGAAGATTTTAAACAGAAGGTGGCAGCAGAAATGTTCTTGTAGCTTTTTGAGTTTCTAAATTAAAAAGATGTCCAACCAGGCTGCTTTTAGAATTTGGGCTTTTTAAGTTAGAGTTCCATCATTTCCTGAACTTTGAAAAAAACCAACCAAAAAAAAGGGGTTGACCTCCACAAAGAAAGCACGGCACAGGGAGAATAGAGGCAAAGTGCGTTTTTACATAATTATATGTTTCCCCCATTTCTTCCCCCCCATCCATGCATCAAAAAAATTCCAGAGGGAAATTGTTTCTCATGCCAAAAAGGTACAATGTTTGGACAAGCCTGCTGAATAGTTCTTTATTAACAGACATCATTTTGCAACCACAAAGGAAAGTGTTAAGGAAAAAGTGAATAATTTTACATTCCAGTTTTATTCTAGTAAAATAACTGGTGTAGGTTGAACTTCTGGTCTCTTACAGAGATGATGACTGTAAGGTAGGTAGGTAGGTAGGTAGGTAGATGGCACAAGTGGGCTTGACTCTTGATGCATAGGCATAACAGGCAACAATCCGCAGGTCTTCCCAGGATATTCTTAGGGTCCCCTTGATGCCATCCATCCATCCACCTTATCCCTTGTCTTCCTGTTTCCATCCACCTTGCGAAGTTTTTTCTAGTTCGTTATCCGTTTGCATTACAACACAAAGTGAGGTAATCACCAGGAAGCAGAAAAGCTTCGGAGGCCCCGAAGAGCTCTGGGTTTGTAAACACCTCCTTTCCGACGGGCCTCGAGGAAAGGCTGAGCCCCGCGGTCGAGCAGCGGCCGGGCCGGACGAGAAGACGGAACGTCGCCGAGCCCAGCGGGTCAGCCTCAGTCCCGAGGGCGGGGGCGGGTGCGGGAGGCAGGGCGGCCAACTCGCTCCTCTCCGTCCTTCCGGAGTCGCGGAGGCGGCAGTCGGTGGGCAGGGAAAGGGGCAGCCACGCGGGGGACGGCAGCGCGAAGAGGCGCGCCAGTTCTGGATGCCGCTTCTGCGCTTCCTTCTGCGGCGGCTCTTTGGATTGGGGCCGCTTCTTTCCCGCTCCCCGTAAAGAATCTCGTCTCCCGGTTTCCCACGACCCGCGCTGGCAGCTGAGCGATGGCTCGACGCGTGCTCGGGGCGGTACATTGTGGGTTTCCGGGGTGGCTCTTGAGGTTTGAACCCACAACCTTCCTTCGGACGATGGACTTAATCCCGTACGTTTTAAGGTGGCTTCGGGTTTGTTGGTTTGGTTTTGCTTTTTTTGCCGGGGAGGCGGCTTTGGCACCTGCGTGTTTCCAGCCCCGTTGGTGGCACGGATGTGCACCAACAGCATGTGAATTAAGTAACTTTCGTTAAGCGTGTTGCATGCAAGAAAGGTCCCGTAAAGGGTGGATTGGGGAGGTTCCGCTTCTTCGAAATGCTGATGTCAGAGGTGAAAGAAACTCTTGGGAAGTTGCTAAAGGTCACCTAGCAGCTTTGGAAGCCTCTTGCATGGTGATACAGTACTGCAAACTGCATTCTTCGTGCAGCACTTAAATATTGAGGAATGGGGAATTAAAAGTAGGGGATGGTTTCTTTTATACGTTCTCTGTTTCTCCCCCCCCCACCACCTTCCTTCCTTCCTTTCTATGGTCTCCAGTATTGCTGACTTGGCCAGCTTCAAGGAGCCTCCATTCTTGAAAAGCCCAGCATGGATTCTCCTGTGGTCCTAGATAAAGACTCCCAGTTTTCCTCCCTTGAGCCTGATGATCCGGTCCCAGTAAAGAAGTTTTATCAGGGTGAACCTGTGGCCCTGGGGGTGAGTACGAAGATGAGTGATGGGAATGATGGTTTGCCTCCTTTCAAATGACCCTGGGAAATCTAAGTGTGGTCACAGCTGTCCCCATCCTTGCAGGGCAGTTAAATCAGAGGAACAGACATTCCTGTTTAGTTTAGTCTGTGAATGTCTTGCCGTTCTGCAAGGTTGGGAAACATGGATGGTCTTCCAGAGGCGAATAAGTGACTCGCAACAGCTGCAGTGAGTGGGACCAGTCCTGGAGGATGCTGGGAGTTGTATTTCTGGAGTGCCACCCATGCTCATTCCTGCCAAGGGCAAGAAAGCAATTAGGCAAAAGATTAGAGAGAGACAGAATGAGCTGATTTGTATGATGCAGGACTCCAACCACTAGAGATAACAGTTGCATTCCTCCGACTTGCTGAAGTTACAAATTGGCTTTTTCCAGAACTAGCTTTGTGCCTTTCCTTCAGGCACAAAGTATATGTTAAAATTCAGTATATGCAGACCGTGATTGAATCATCACTGAGCATGACTGAGTTTGAAATAGAATTGGATACAATGATGAACATGTAATTGCTAAAGTGTAAAAAGATTGAAATTTGAAACAGAAAAGAATGAGTGAAAGAATATTATAAACTGTGCTATGTATGGATTGAACATAAAAATATCTATGCCTGATGAGTCCCAACAAGGAGGAAAGTGACTGCATAGTCATAGTGACTCCTTCTGGCCAGTAGCTAAGATAAAATGAGGAAAGAAATAGGTTTGGCAGAGATTGGTGAACATTAGTGATCCAAGCCAATGGCCAATACCAACAGATGCTGGGAGTTATAGTTCAGGGACATCTTGAGTATTGTTGGGTTTCCACACTGTGGGAAGGTCATATCTGCAGGTGAATGGCCTTTATAGTTAGATATCCCATTTTAAAATCTTGTATCGTTTTATTAAAGTTTTGGGAAGTGATGGGATAAAATGTAATCAGGCTTTGGCCTGTCTCTCTGTCCTCCTGCTCTACTTGTGGTATGTGACTTGAAAGCGATGACTAAAATCAAAATTATTACTTTCTCTATTTGCAGATTACACAGATATTAATAGGAATCATAGGAATAGTTTTTGGGATCCTGTTCAACTTTATTGATAATGGTGATTCTACTTACTTCCTGCTTATAAAGATACCCTATTGGGGTGGAATCTTGGTAATTTTCCCTGCTTATAAAAATACTCTATTGGGGTGGAATCTTGGTAATTTTACATGATCATGTATTGAAACAATTCAACACAATAACTCAGGATCCAGATGTTGAACTGCACATCATAGCAACCTGGTCTTTGCTGAAGGATGCGTGGAGCTATAGTTTAGCCACTTCTGGTTTCTCCAAATCTTTTTACAAACTTTACTTCAGAAAAAGGATTGCTCGGCTAGTTCCATTTTTGTCTTATGTCCGGTCTCCAAATTTCTAAAAACCTCCGAATTAAGAGATTATACAAATAGAAGTAATCTCCTTGGCTCCTATTGTATAGCTAGTTCTTACTTACCAACCAACCACCACATTCAGTGACTTTGTTGTCACTGCACCTCGTACAGTGAAATTAAATACCATCTTCAGTGTACATTATAACTATAAACAACAAAGCACAAACTCACCTCCTTCGCATTCTATACCTTGAATTGAAAACCCCTGGATATTGCATTAATACTGCACTATAGAGTAGAATTCAATAGAATGCCCTGGGATAGAAGCTGTTTTTCAGCCTATTTGTCCTTGTTTTTATTGTCCTGTACCACCTGCCAGATGGTAATAGTTTTAAAAAAAGGGTGCCCAGGATGAGATGGATCTTTAAGGATGTTTTGAACTTTCTTAAGGCAGCGGGAGCTATAAAACTTTTCCAAGAGGGGAGAGGGCAACCCATGATCTTCTGGGCAATGATGTTAATCCTCTGGAGCACTGTCCTACCTGCCACTGTGCAATTGGCAAACCAGACACAGGTGCAGTAAGTTGAAATACTCTCTTTAGTGCACGGTAGACTGTTTGAAGTTGTGCCACTGAACAAAGGGGACTGATGACCAGTCCTCAATCTTGTGGCCATTGCAGAGCCCCCTCCCCAATTGTCATAGAATCATGTCTCAAACACTCAACAACTGGTCTGCATTATCCCGTGACACATGATTGCCATTTGTTACTTTCACAGTCTGCTTCTGATGAGCAAAGTCAATGGGAAAGCCAGCAGGAAATTGAAAGTCATGGGAACCATGAGCTTGAGTGTAGCTGTTTGCAGCATCTGGAGACCTTTGGGTTTTTTTATCATAGAGACAGGGGAAAAATATTGCTGAACATTAGTGCTATGCTGTGTTGTACAAAAGTTCTATGAATGTAGCTCCTGCCTGCAGTGCCTTAAAGCAGCTGCATCTTCAACTGGAGTAGGGAAAATTGATTGAGGTTCAGCACAAAAAATGTCAGTGCTTAATGACCAGTGGACAGTAGCAATAGCTTCTAGGCTTACATACCGCTTTACAGTGCTTTTACAGCTTTTCTCTAAGCGGTTTACAGAGTCAGCCTATTGCCCCCAACCATCTGGGTCCTCATTTTACTGACCTCAGAAGGATGGAAGGAAGTCAAGCTTTTACAGCTTTTCTCTAAGCGGTTTACAGAGTCAGCCTATTGCCCCCAACCATCTGGGTCCTCATTTTACTGACCTCAGAAGGATGGAAGGAAGTCAACCTTCAGCCTGGTGAGATTTGAACTGCCAAATTGCAGGCAGTCGGCAGAAGGAGCTTGCAGTACTGCACTCGAATCCCTACACCACCGTGGCTCATTGTAAGGAGCAAATTAAGGAGGGAGAGAGATTATAGGAGTCAAACCTAAAGCTGCCCTAACCAAGGCCATTTTCTGGGCTTCAGTGTTGCCACACTGGAGCTGAGGCATAGGGAGGAGGGAATAGAGATAGATGGGGTTTGTAGCCAAAACAAAATACTTTCCCCTGGGAACCAAGGACATTCACACAAGTGGTCGGTGAGGGGTGGAATGATGTAACCAAGCAACGGGAAGACACGCTGATTGGACCATGTGACTGACTGACTGGGGAAGAGAGAAAACTTTTACTTTTAACTTGGTGAAAACCGCCGGAACCTTTAGGGTCAGTTTTTACTAGCCCGTGCTAATATGATATATCCAATAAAACAGTTCTTTGAGGAATTTACCTGCCTTGAGTTCTATCTGTTATGGGTGTATTACTTAGAACCCTGACAATCAGCTTGTGATGGAACAGAGAAGTTTGCAAATCTGATCCTCTGGGGATGGAGCCATGTTGATTTGCTTTTTCTTGTCTTTCAGCACATTATTTCTGGATCCTTAACTGTGGCAGCTGCTCGGAATCCCAAGATCCCTCTGGTAATTAACCTATGGGAGACAAATGAAGGCCATGGCTTTAAAAGCCTCTTATCTGAAGAGTTGCAACCCACTGGTGGATTTCTGATGTTCCTGTATCATTAACATCCAAGCAAGCATCATGATAGTTGTGGCTTCTTGTTCAAGAGTCTCTCTCCCGAATTCCTTTTTAGGAAGCTTCAGGTCTTTTGCAAATCTCTTTTTTTGCCACTTTATGGCAAATATGTTCTGTGTCTCCGTCTCTGATTGAATATTCCATGGAAGTAAATATCTAGAAGCTGTCTCTCTCTTCCTCCACAGTGGTCAGGTGGAGGGTCTGGTATGCAAATGTGTGTCCAAATAGCACCACTGGAAAGATATACAAAGGAGTTGAGCCATTCTTACATGGGTGTAGAGCAGGGGTCAGCAACCTGTGGCTCTGGAGCCGCACGTGGCTCTTTCATCCCTCTGCTGCGGCTCCCTGTCTCTCAAAATATGCATCATGATTGTCAATGTTTGATACCCGCCGGCATGCGATTTATTGAGCTTTTTGACCCCCAGTAGGCTAACCATGGATAAATCCAAGAAAAGAAAAGTTTCAGAAGAAAACAGAATCTTTAATTCAACTATACGTGTTAATTTTGTGGCCACTCAGGAAATAGTCACGGGAAGGGTTTTGTGGCTCCCAGTGCTTTCTTTTCTGTGGGAAACGGGTCCAAATGGCTGAGTGTTTAAGGTTGCCGACCCCTGGTATAGAAGTTATCAGCCTCACCTTTTCTGGCTAAAGCAAATCCAAAACTGAAAGTCATCTGAACTCTTCCGCTCTTTGAGCCATTGGAGAAATTTGGATTGCAATATAGTCACTTTGTGTGTTTGTGCTTGTGTTTATTATTATTATTATTATTATTATTATTATTATTATTATTATTATTATTATTATTATTATTATTAT